GGTGGTTAGGGGTGAAATCCCATACCAGTTGAACCCGGTTACAAGGGGCCGGTTTTGTTTTCCCCAAACATACCACGCTTTGGGAAAAGACTGACAGGTCTCCCCATGTTTCTCCTGGTATATCAACCCTGCGGGCAATCAATGTTCTGAAATTGATTGCGCCATATTGATCAGAGGGGGGGGGGGATCAGTCGACAACTCCCTTCCAATTATGGCTCTAGACGAACCTGTGGCTTTTACCACCTCCCGGGGGAATCGCGAAATGATAATCAATAAAATTAGGAGGCATCTGACGACCGAGGTTGGCCGAATTACACCGGACGTGGAAGGGACGGAAGGTTTAGGGGCTGTGCAGGTTTGCGTGGGAGATTGTCAGGGATCAGTAGTCATCTGCATGCCTGCCACACTCTCCCTGTTGATTTAACCCTGCCCGTTTGTATGGGCCGATACCTCTCAACAAGCCTGCATCATTGATCAAACAATGGCAGATGTTCCAACAAAGTGTTCTCAAGCCCGCCACCACGGATTAACTGACGATATGTCACTGATTTTTCAGGGGAGGGAAGGTTCTAGGTTGGTGTGTGAAACCACCGGCTGGTTTGTGTCAGTCGGGAGTGATGTCATGAGCTGGTAAAACACATTCTTCAGATAACATTGGGTAGAGAGCTGATCCATGGTGTTACCTTGGACTAACCCATTTATCATCTCTGGTGGGTATCCTGGCATGACAATAAACCCCTCTGAAAGCAAATTCATTAGTTCTGTTAGAGCAGAAATGTTAGATTGCGTCATTAAAAATTCATGGTTGCTGTTGGTTTTGGGGGTGACGGAGAGCTTCTATTTTCGTGTCTGGCTTGTTAGTGGCAATTAAAGCTCTCAAAAGGATTAAGGTCATGGAGTTTATTACTGGCCCCTTGTGGTCCGCTGAACAGGTGTGGGGAAGTCAGCTATCAGAGGTCAACATGAAAGGACCACACTAGGTACACAGCAGTGTGTTGGTAGGGGGCGGTCAAGCCTGTATTTGATGTGGTTAGCGGCCCAGAGGAGGATGTTGACAACTGTCTCAATGGCACTGTGAAACACGCCAGAGGTCGGCGGGGTCAGAGGTTACCCGGGAGACCTTCGTCTGGTGCCTTGTTGCCATGAAGGGAAAGCATTTTGTCCTGTTTGTTTTTGTAGCGTCGGACATTTCGGGCAGCTGGTCCTTCAGCGTGAGCCTTTGATTGGTGCGAGAGTACTTAGCCGCCAGCTGGATCAATTGTATCCACTCCCCGACCTAACCCAGCGCCCATATCAGCCATTAATTGCGGGATTCTATTGCGCAGTAGGTCAACCGGGGCCTTAGCATGCCTCAAACATCTCAAGTAACTGGCTGGGCCCAGACACTTCCCAGGCTGGCATTTATACCCTGCCAAGAAATGGTGTGTAATCACGCCACTCGTATTTTGCTAGCCTGGTAGGCGAGGATTTCCTCCCGAGCGGATGTGTGCCCTGCAATTGCACTTACACAAGGGCACGACGTAGGGTTGTGTTCCAGTTAAGCCAAGCCATAGTTCTCACCAGGCTGTTTGAGCGTAGGGGCCCCCTACGCTGTGATTTTGACCCCCTACGCTGTGATTTAGCCCCCTACACTGTGTTTCAACCAGTGTAGGGGTGGTTTTTGGGGGCAGAAGCTTCATTAATCTTTAAAAAAAATGAAGATATAACTTAAGAATGAAGCTATAACAGAGGGAAAACAAAATCTGTCCCCCAATAAACAATAAATAGTGTCTTAAGTGGTTAATATGAGTTACAAAATTTTGGGGGGGAGAATATCACTATTTATCAGGCCCATGTTTTGGGGACTCGGTGCGTGACTCGCGCCGCAGAAAGTTGCCCTTCTATACCTGACCCCTACGCTGTGAAAAAATCCTAGTGAGAACCCTGCAAGCTTAGACAAGCCAAGGTCTGAAAGCGATAAAGTACGGTACAGTAGTGCTCCGGTGGTGTTCGCTGCTTGCCGAGAGGCCCCGTTGAAGAGGTTTTCTTGGTGTGATAGTGCTAGGCAAACATCACCCCCTGCTCCTGGCAACTAATAGTTAGGAAACAGGTGGTTCGTCTGGCGCCACATAAACAAGACAAATTGGCTTTGTACAGCAGGGTGCTCTTATGTGATTTGGGTGAATAAACAGTGGGGTAAAATATTT